CCCTCCCTTCCCCTTTCCTTTGGTTCTGTTAGCCCAGAATGCACCAAATGGAAAAAATAAGTTAAATAAATTTAAACTTGAATTCTCAAAGTTGTGCCGCAGCCACAACAATAAACCCCAGGTCCCCTCTTTAAGATGAGCGTGCATGCATTTCAGCATGCTGTGTTCTGTTTGTGAGTTCTGTGCTGCCAGATCCCAAACTAAAAGAGAAATTGAGGTTTGGAAATTTGGTACATTTTCCTCTTTTCTGGCATGTTTACAATTCACTCTGAATAGTGTGTTGGTTTTGACAAAGAATTGTCAGGAAAACTGAGGAAAGCTTTTCCAATATACATGGTTTTCTAGAGTGTTATTTCTTAGAGTTCTATGAGGCCAGTCCAGAAAGACAGGTGAGGGATAATTCAGGGACGAATCTGACACACTGTGTCATAGGCTGAGTATGAAGGTCCTATATTTCTAGACTTTCCTCCCAGCTTATTTATCAGCTTTCTATAAAATGGTGCTGCTTTCTGTGCTAGTGACTAAATGACTATGTTTATGAAAATAAAGGCCTGTGGAAGTCTTAGATTTATTGGTGTGGGATTGAATGGAAGAGAGTGTGAACAGTGAAGAGATGCCTTTCTTTCCGTAGAATGCGTACACAGCCACTGCTATCAACAGCACCAACTTCTGCACCTCAGCTAAGGACGCCTTTGTGATACTAGTGGAGAATGCTTTGAGAGTGGCTGCCATAAACACAGTGGGAGACTTCATGCTCTTTCTGGGAAAGGTAGGATGGAGCCCAAGAATGTTGTATACTACCCTTTAGTATGAATTTTGTTTTGATTTGTTTTGTTTTGTTTTACTACCCTACAGGTAGTAAAATATACCCCAGCATATTTTGCAGTTTGAAAAAAGAAGCACTTCCCTGTGACAAGACTAGTGGGTTGTTCTTTTATTAGAATGATTTTCATCTGAACTTTTCACTTGCCAAGCAGCACACAAGATGGCTAACTACAGTCAAAGACCAATAAGTCATCAATAATGGAACAGTTAGAATAATTAAAAAGCAAAAAGCAGCATAACAGATAATTTAAATATCTGCCTCTGCTTAAAATGCCAAGGTTACCTCAGCCTTAACAAAAGAGTCTTCAGCTAGCAGCAGATGCTAAAAAAGAGGAAACCAAGGTATGGAGAGGGTTTTTAGGATGCAAGCTGGTTGAAAGGACAGGAAAGGCCCATGCACAGCTAACATTGAGAAGCTAACATTGGGAGGTCATTTCCTAGCATCTACCCAAGTCAAGTTACAGAAAAAGTACTCCCTACCAGATCTTAAAGAATGGGTAGGCTTTATTTATTATTTTATTCATTTCAAATAGTTCCAGGTGGTTTTTCAGCCCAAAATCCCTCTCAAGGCAACTTAGTAACCAACACTCAAAATTGTCTCTGGAAGCATACTGCATCTAAGGCGAATAGTTCTAAACTGATCAGATTTCTGTGAGTACCCTCTCTGCTGCATTATGAACCAATTTTAGTTCCCAAAGACTCTTCAAAGGCAGCCTTATATAAAGCTCATCATAGGAGTCCAGTTATGATGTACTCAAGGCATGTATTCTGTATAAATTATGTATCACCTATACAAATTATGGAATTTCAGCAAATGTATATAATTTTTATTCTTTTTATTCTTTTATTCTATTCTGGGGATTAACACCCCCCCCCACGCCAGCAAATTTGCATTATTTATTTTGGTTCTGCTAGTCATGGAAAAAAAAGCTAAGCCCGCTAAGTCTTGGGCCCAGTCACTGGAAACATTATTCATTCATCCACTGTCTGGGAAGTTTTAACTGAAAGCTAGGCTTCCTGAGAAGATGACTTCTTCATCAAATACTTTACACAGAAATGAAATAATGTATTCAGCCGTCTTTGCCCCTTTACTCCTTACATTCCCCTTTGAAGATAGCAAGGTGGGTGAGTCTGATCATTTTAGTGAATGGAATGGAAAATTAGTTATGAACATGCAATGTAAGAAGTTGCCCATGCTGATAAGTGAAAAGAATCTGTAATTTTATATTTATGATTATTGTTTATTCCTAGAGACCTGCCCTAATCGTATGCTCGATTTCTAAAGTCCCAGATGGTTCTTTTTTTATCTTAATGGTGGCTACTAGTTAATCAGTGGTCAAACCATGCTTTTCTACATTTTTCAGAGTACATTAACTTTCAGTAAAAATGTTCTACACACTAATTTTCACAAACATATACATCTAAAGTCATCTCACAGCTTTGGGATCTTAGTTACAAATTCCTTTCCTTCAGCTTATTGTGTATTAATTCACATTGCAGCTAACTGAACTTCCGAGTGGAGACTTTGTAATCCCACAAATAAACAAATCAATAAGTCACAGTAGGAGTGAGCGAATAATTAGATATAATGGCCTTAAGGGGATTGGAGTGTTCAGTGAGGTTGGCTAGGAATGGATTTGACATGTACCATGAAGGTCTCCCTTGGTGGCAGGAGCTGGTCACGTTTTTCAGATGGCTGGAAATAACACAATGATAATAACAGCTGAAACTAGCACCACAGAATACTCTTTTAATATCAGTTGAACATTGCTGCCCCTACCAAGCCAGTTTCAGTTTAAAGCAGAATGCAAGGATCCATTTTCTAAAACATCTTTCATTGAAAGCAGGATTCACACTTGAAAATGCATTGAAAATCCATTTTTCATGAAACAGTTTTTTTGGGATGGATATAACTGAAAGAAATAGTGAAATGGCTTTCATTACTTTTCTAAAATAAATATTAAGGATACTTAGAAGGTATACAAAAGGTGACTCACAGAATAAAATTAAAGCTTTCTTTTACAAACAGGAGAAGATGAGTTGGGGCATCTTCCTGTCTGCATCTGTAAAATGATTTAGAGGGTGATCTTATGGTCTCTGAGAGGTCATCCAGGGTCCATCAGATATTACACAGTCCTGCATCTGAGGTTACAGATGCTCCTACAACCTCAGGAGGGGGACTCTGAGATCAAACCCCTCCGCTCTTTCACCCTCACTGCAGTGCTTGTGTCCTAGAGTCACAAAAGCAATTTTGAGGAGGAAGTAAAGGGTCTTTCTAGTGGTCCAGAAAGGGCAGAGAGAGGAGGGTCCAGGATTCACAGAATTCTTTGGCTTCAGCTGCAGCCTCACAACTCCTCTAGACAGGCTCACAGGCCCATGTATAAATGGATACAAGGACAGAGAGGGGACTATAACCTCCCTTGCTGCAGTGCCCCAGTACGTCAAAGAATACATGGAGGCTTCCATGTAGCAGCCAATAGGATTGTGACCTTGGAGTATAGTTACCTTGAGATATTTGCCCACCTCCTAAAACACATACAAAATAAGGATCAGGAGGCACTAGCTAAAGTTGCTTTGGGAGCCATCAGCATTCATTCATTCATTCATTCATTCATTCATAACATTTCTATGCCACCCAATTGTGCCACACCACCTCTGGGTGGCTCACAACCACATGATAAAAACATAATAAAAACCACAACGCATTAAAAACAACAATAAAATACAGCAAAAATACAAAACAAAGGTTTTATGACAATTCCTTATTATTTTTTTTAAAAAGGAAGGTCTTCACCTGGCACTGAAAAGAAAGTAAGGAAGGCGCCAAGCTAATCTTCTTGGGGAGAGCATTCCAGATATGGGGAACAGCTGCAGAAAAGGCCCTCCTAGCGATCATCCCTCAGTGTTGCAGGGAACAGTAGCAAAAAGTGCACAATCTGTTTTCAGTTTGAATAAACAACCCTGTTCATAGGTTTTTAGTGTGATGCCCCAACCTAGATACTCTGGATTAAATATTTATAGGTTAAATAACCCAGAGTTAATGTATGGCTTGTTAAAAATATGCTCACAACTTCCACTTGTTTGGAAAAACAAAAAAAAATCTATGTATATTTTGTATACATTTTATTAAATGTATGGGAAAGTATTTCATGCCCATTTTAGAAAAGCAAGAGAACATAAAAAGGAATTTCAGTATTTCCTCAGTTTCAAATTCCTGGTAATGATCCATGTATCTATGAAATCTTTACCATAACCCTTAATGCCAGCATTATCATAGTGCCTAAAAATTTGCAAAGGGGCTGAATTGTTCCATCTCAGAAAGGACTTTCTAGAGAAATGAAAGGCTCCCAAGAATTAGAGCTTAGTCATCTTTGCTCAGAAGCACTTATTTTGCTCAAACCAACAGTTTTAAGAATTGAAAATTGCTGCTTTTTGTTTGGGAGGGCACTTCTATTTTCTGTAAACACATACACAATTGCACTTTAAAAGCCGCCAACTGGGAGATGGCTCATGATTAGCACTAATACATAGGAAAAAAATCATTCTTAGGAATCAGAATTGGAATGGAATACATAATTAAATCTGGGTCTTTGCATCGATGCTTGTCTGCTCTCTTCTTCAAACCTTCTGTATAGGCAATTAACTAAGTCCTTCATTCTGTTGTCCAATTGTGCTAGTAGCCAGGGAACATTTATTGATAGCCAAGCTAAATCTGTTTGTCCCCCTATAACTTGAAACCATGTACCTCCTGACATGTCCTCAGTGCCAAGTTTTACTCCTCTAAGTTCCAAGAGGCAGTGTAGTGTGGTGGTGAGAGTATTGGACTGGGACTTGAGAGATCCAGCTTATACTCCCTATTCAGTCATGAAGTTCACTGGGTGACTTTGGGACAGCACTGTCTCTCTGCCTAAGCCAGCTCACTGAGCTGTTGTGAAGATAAAATGGAGGCTGTGAAAGATCATCAAGATCATCTTGAGTTCCTTCCAAAAGGAAGAAAAGGAGATTAGAAATAAATAAATGAGCCTTTTCGACCTGGAGACCCGCTGTGTTGTTTGATGACAATGGAAGTTGTAGGCCAATAAGTTTGGAGGGTACCAGCTACAGAAAGGCTGTGCTAATACAAACTTTGTCCCAGTCCCTCGAAAACTGCTGGGGAAAGCAACAAGTGTGGGTTCTCCTCAGACAATGCAGATGATTTAACACTCTCTTCACACACTGCATTTTTAAAGGAGAACTGGGACTGAATATTATTATTATTATTATTATTATTATTATTATTATTATTATTATTATTATAACATTTCTATGCCGCCCCTTGCTGAAACCTCGGGGCGGCTTCTGAAATGCTCAGTGACACACCCACAATTTTTCATGCAGTGTGTAAATATAAGAGAATAGGGGAAAGAAACTGTCTGATAGAACTAAAAGACCAGGAGACTTATAAATAACTAAGTAGGAACATTTGATCTTTTTTATCACATTTTATTTATTATATGTTGCCTCATAAGTTTAAAGCCATCAGCACATGTACAACAATGTAAAAGGATAAAAACTTAAACAAAACAAGAGAATTAAAACAGTAACAAATTTTGAAAGGCCTAATCAAAAAGATGCGCCTTTGCACCCAAGAAACTGGGGCCAAATCACTGTTCTTGAAGGAAGACTTTCCATAGCTTTGGAGGAACATTGGAAAAAGTCCTTTTATGGATTCCCAGCATTGGACCTCTGCAGGTAATGGTGCCCCAAAAGAGCCTCTCCTGCATTTCTTAATAGATAAGAGACTTACAGTCCTTTATACCATTTGTATAAGAGAGCTTTGGCTATTTATGTAATAAATATTATCATAGGTACCTAGGTCCTGACACTTGGAATTGTGCCCAGAAAGCCTCTGGTGACCAGTGCAGGTCTTTCAGGACAGCAGTAATATGGTTCCAATGATACATGGCTTAGCTTCCTTACTTTGCACTGGTTGAAGCTTCTGGACTCTCAAGGGACAGCCCCATGTAGAAAATAATGTAATAACTTAAACATAATGTAACAAAGGCATGGATCACTGATGCCAAGCAGACCAATTCAGGAAGGCTCGTGGCTGGTCTAATTGTTAAGCATAATCATGCAAATGCACTTTTTCCAACTGCTGCTCCCTAGATCCAGGGATGGTGTAGAATCATGGAAGCACTCCCAAACTACAGATCAGATCCTTCAAGGGGAGTGTAATACCTTCTAGAAGCAGTTGAATCTTAAACTTTCTCCTGACAAATCCTCTACCTTGTCTGAGTTCAACTTCAGTTTGTTCAACCTCATTCAGCCCATTATTGAACTCAGGAAATGTTTGAGGATTTCAGCTGTTTACTTGCTTTTAGGTGGTTATACCTGCACTGCCTCCAAGGCTGGAAACAAGGGATAGTCAGTTCTACTTGTAGGCACTGAAAATTGAACAAATTATATAAATATTAGATGAAAATGGAGTAGGGTTGTGTGAGGAATCTGTTTGCGGGTGGGAATCCATTGGATTTCCTGGGCTCTGCCCCAGGGCTCTGGACCATTTTGCAGCAGCCCTGAGCCTGAGTTTCCTGGCAAGTGCTCCCAGTGTTCATAGAGCACTTGCCAGTAGTTGCTTACATGCACTATACAAGCAAAATTCCTCTTCCGTGTGTGGTACATCGGCTTCACTAGTTGCCGATGAAGGCTGTTCGCCAGGAATGGCAGCTAGCATGCTTGCTCGCAACAGCCCTCTTCTGTATTGGAGCATTGCCATTGCTGGCTGCACTGGATGCTGAAGAAGTTGGTCATTGGGTATGATGCTTGGCATACTCATAGCACCTGCCTTCCACGTCTAGCAGCCGCTCTGGGCAGCTGCACCTGACAGGGAAGGTTGCCACTATGTACCACCAGGGGACTGAAAGCATTTGTAGACTTCATCTTGACTCAGCTTGATTTGCAAGACTGGGCCGAGCACAGGAGGAAGTCTGCGGATTCTGAAAAGGTTCATCCCAACTCTAAAATGAAGTTGAACAGGTACTAAAAGGAGGTTAAGGAATCTGTGGAGAAGCTGAAAATGTTTTTCAGCTGCCTTCACGGCAGAAGATAGAGGAGAGATACCTGTGCCTGAACAGATATTTTCAGGAAGGAAGTCTGAGGAACTGAGCAAATAGTGGTGGCAAAAGATGAAGTTCTCAGTCTTATTCAGAAACGGAAAGTTCATAAATCACCCAGCTCAGAGGGTATTCATCCTAGTGTTATTAAATGGCTCAAATATGAAATTGCTGCTCTTCTAACAAAATTATGTCATGTGTCCCTAAACAGCCTCTGTACCAGAGGACTGGAGAATGGCCAGTGTAATACCAGTTTTCTAACAGGGATCCTGGGTAGGTTAGGAAACCTAAGGCAAATTAATTAACATCCATACCAAGTCAATTGTTTGAAAGCATTATTAAATGGAAAATTAGTAAACACATAGAAGGACAAGCACTGATGAATAAAGAATCAGCATGACCTCTGCAAAAGTAAGTCCTGACTCGGTAACCTTTTGAGTTAATTGTGAATGTCAGTAAACATGTGGACAGGAGCAATCTGGTCGACAGTGTTTACCTGAACCTCCAAAAGGCTTTTGAGAAAGTTCCTTACTAAAGGTTCTTGAGCAAACTTAGCAGTCATGGAATAAAGCGGGGGAGGAGGCTCTTATGAATTAGTTGCTAGTTAAAGAACAAAAATCAGAGTAGGAGTAAATGATAAGTTCTCCCAAGAGAGTGATGTCAACACTGGGGTCCTCCAGGGATATGTATTAAGCCCAGTGCTTTTCAGCCTATTCATAAATGAACTGGAATGAGGAGCAAGCAATGAAGTGGCCAAGCTTGTTGATGATATCAAATTATATAGGGTGTGTAAAGTGGAGAAAATGGGACTGTGCAGAGCTTCAAAAGGACAATGGACATCAAAATGGCATATGTGGATCAAAGTAAGCAAAATTTTATGGCTTCAAGTATTTTCAAGTGAAAATGTCAACACAATGTGTTGTTGCTGTGAAAAAGGCAAACTCCATGTTTGGCACAATTAGGAAAGGAATTGAAAATAAACTGCTAGTATTGTACACTGCTGTATAAATCTGTGGGTGACCACACGAGGAATGCTGCATACTGTTCTGGTCACCAAATCTAAAAAAGGCTATTGTAATGTTGGAAAAAGTACAGAAAGGGGCATCTAAAGAGTCTGAACCAACTCCCCTAAGAGGAAAGGTCATCTAGAATTGTTTAGCTTAAATAAAAGATAGGTATGGGAAGACATGGCAAATGTACAAAATTATGCATGGTATAGAGAAAATGGCTAGAGAAACATTTTTCTTCATCTCATAACACTAGAACCCAAAAGATCATCTCATGAAGTCGATTGGTAGGCGATTAAGGACAGATACTTCTTAACCCAGGGCATAGTTAAAGTATGGAATTTGCTTCCATAAGAAGTACTACTGGCTCTAAAGGAAGATTGAACATTAATGGAGGAGAAGGCTATCAGTGGCTGCTAGTCTTAATAGCTCAGTGCTGTTTCAAATACCAGAGGCCATGTGCCTGTGTGCCTCAGTTGCTGGGGAACATGGGAGGGAGGTTGCCATTGCACTCCTTTCCTGTGTGTGGGTACTCCCGGGGAGCTGGCTAGCCACTCTGAACAGAATGCTGGACTAGAAGGAATCTTGCTCTGTTCCTGCATGGCTCTTACCTTCTTAGAGCAAATCAGCTTCAAAGTTTTCCATTCTTGAATTAATACGTGGCAGCATTTAGCAGTTTCTGGTCAATAGTTGTAAGGTGGCCTGAATCAATCAATCCTGCATTTGTGCTCTCTGCTCTCTAGGTCCTAATAGTGTGCAGCACAGGCTTGGCAGGAATCATGCTGCTAAACTACCAGCAGGATTATACCGTGTGGGTGCTGCCGCTCATCATTGTTTGCCTGTTTGCATTTTTGGTTGCCCACTGCTTCCTGTCCATTTACGAAATGGTAGTGGATGTCCTTTTCTTATGTTTTGCCATTGACAACAAGTACAATGATGGCAGCCCTGGGAAGGAATTCTACATGGATAAAGTTCTTATGGTAAGTGCCTCTTAATTTTCTGTACCTCTGTGAACTCTAAGCATGGGGAACCACAAGGTAGAGCAACATTAATGCTGCGGATGTTCCATTTAGTCACTCTTCGGATATGCATGATAGCTTGCTGTTTGGGGTAGGGGTGGGAGACATATTTTCTTCCTTATAGCCAGCAGGTACAAATATGTTTGCAAAACTTAAAATTAAATCTCAACTCTTTTTGCTTTATGTAGGGTGGAAATGTATTATCAGTGTGTGGTTTTGCAGACAGTTCCACACTGCACCAGCTGACACTATAGAAGAAGCATGTTCCTTTTCAGATTACATTTTAAAATGTAAACTGAAATGTGATATTGCCTCTTCAGCATAAAGTGTAAAGTCAAAGAACCTTTGACTTTGAGTTTTGTCCTCTATTTCATTGTGGTTTCAAAGTCTCTCTGAATTGGCATTAGGGATGATTGTTGGCCTCCCAACCATAGTTCATGAATCATTGCTTCAGAGGATCTGGTTTCAGTTCTATCTTGCAAGATAAATGCAAACCATTTTTCAATGGTTTGAATGTAGTGGCAAACCATGGCTTTACATGAACGAGGAAGGAGCTGATTGGGAACCAGTGTAGCATGCTGGTTAGAATATTGAATTGGGAGGAAAGGACAACCAGGTTCAAATCTCCACTTAGCAGTGAGGCCCCTGTGTGGTCTTGGGCAAGTCGCTGTTCACTTAATTTATCTCACAGGGTTTTCATGAAGAGAACAGTAGGAAGAACCTTTGTATTCTGTCTGGAGTTTCTTAGAGGAGGAGTGGGATTGTTTAGTCGCTAAGTCATGTCCAACCTTTCACAACCCCATGGACAACATTCTCCAGGCCCTTCTGTCCTCCACCATCCCTCGGAGTCAAGAGTGGGATAACTCAGCTTAAAATCAATAACTAAGCAGAGCATGTAAGAGAAACCGTGATATTACAGGCAGTGCTTCTTTCTACAGTATCACCAGACCATGGTTTTGTATTACATGTGACTCAACCCATTAGCTTTTAAACTTTATAAGAATCCTGCAGAACAGATGGGGTGGAGGGTTAGCAGCAATATTCTCCCAAGGCAAGCAAAGGCGGAGACTGCAGTGTGTACTTGCCCAGGCAAACCAGGCCAGCACGTGGAGGAGGCCACAAGAGTGGCAAGTGGATTGGGAAGTAGCTCCATTGCACAGATGATGGGTATGTTTCTTCCCTTGCCAGAGAGATAGTATCTTGTGAGATGGGGTGGAGCAGCTGGTACTTCTTCAGAAACTTTGCAGACAAAAGCCAAGGATGAAGACCTCTTGTGCCACTACTGTGCTCCTGTGTAGAGTGCCTGCGGTATGATGGAGAACCTTTTCCTAACTGTCTTTCAGGAATTTGTGGAGAACAGCAGAAAAGCAATGAAAGAAGCTGGCAGGGGAGGGGGACCAGAAGGCAGGGAGCTCAAACCAATGGTAGGTCCAAGGCAAGAGGTGGCTGCTGTCTTCCAAGAGTTTCACTTGTACTTCCTCTCCCTTTCTATTTTCACTGACTGTGCTTCTTCAGGAGAAGTCTTTGTCATTTGTGTCACTCAGGATGTTCTGCTTTTTCTGTTTGTGAGCTTGCCTATCACCTGGATGGCAGAGTTTTTGTCACAGCTGAGACCATCTCCCATAAAAGTAAGCTGAAAGGAACTGTATCTTCATACTTCTGCTATGTTTCTGTAACCATCCAGGGCAACTGAATTCTCTCAGTAGGGATGTTACTAGTCTTACAATGTCCTAGAGGCTACATATGTGTAGGGGGAAAAGTCCTTGCCTTGAAGAACTTAAAACATCAGTCATAGTGTATGTCCTTTCTGTGTTATCTTTTCTGTTTCTGAGCTGTATCAAACTTGTCCATGGACTTGACATAATATTTACTGTCTTGATGCTGGAAAGTGCCTATACAGAGTAGCTAATTGGTTTCTGGAAGACTGAATAGCTTGACCTCTCACCCTTCGCGTGATGACTACGAGTTTTTTCCAGCACATTACTAACTTCCACTCTACATGGCTACCTCTATGTACCTGATATATCAAATAGAAGAATTCCAAGGGGATTAAAAATGACTCTAGTTACTTCACTTCCATTTATTTCCGTCAGTATAAACCAGTGCCTTTTGCCCGATGTTGAGTCTTATTTACTGATTTTTAAGCTTTCACACTCTGCCACCCCTCATCTTCAACGAAATGGATACAGTTACTCCTTTCAACCTGCTGAAGGAACATTTCACCCAACTCTGCTTGTTACCTCTTCCTCCCACCCTTCTTCTCCTCTTTGTCATTCCTCCATTTGTGTTTCAATTTTCTTGGACTTTCTTGGTTTCAGACACTTGGACTTTCTTGGTTTCAGACACTTCTTGGTTTTATTTCAAAATGCAATATTTTTTTTTAAATAAAACAAATTCTTGGAGACAAGAAGAGTCCAGGAATCAGTAAAAGAAAACACGGTGATACCAGATGTGTGCATGTTGTTTTTTTCTCTCCAGTTGTAACACTTAGGATTAGTTCATATGATGGTACACTGGAGCAAATTTTTGCAGTCACATAAATTGACCTAGCATAAGCAACATATAGAGATAAGCTAATAGTTCACAAAGTTAGCTGCTGTAGCTTTCATAACATTCCCTGGTGAGGAAATGAAACCAGGCAGTGACTTTGTGAGACGTGTCAGCCTCATTCTAAAGAACAGGTAAGGTTGCAAAGAACAGGACAAATACAGGATGTTTTCCAACAGGAAGATTGTCCCTTTATCGTTTAATAATTTTGAATGTTTCTGTGGTGGTAGTACAAGTAGAAACAATTTTAAATAGCATAGGAGATATTCACATCCATAGCTTGTTGATGGTGGCACGATGTGATGAGTTGCTTGTGCAGATAAACCACTGGATATGAGTTTTTAATTTCTTTTTTCACAAGTGTTCAATTTTACCAGTGTGGCACTTTTTTGGTGATTACCCCCTCCCCTTAACTAATGATTCTCATTTTAAACTAGCCACAGCTCTCTGTAATGGCAAAATGCAAACTATGGCTTTGTATCACTAACCGTAATTTAAACTAACCACAGTTTCCTGAAATTGGACATAACAAGATACTGCAGTTAGTTAAAAAAGATAAGTGGAGGCTCCTGATCATTTCATCATAGCTACACAAGCGGAGGAAAAGCTCCAAAGTGCATCAAGAGTTCATGCATGCTTATTCACTATTATGCTAAATTACAGTTTACTGTTACATGTGAACCAGCCCATTGGGTATTCTCCTTTAATCTTCATTTAATAAAACGATATTAGAATAAAATATACTTGAAGATTAAATTAATATATTAGATCAGATGATTTTTTTCTGCCATGGTAAAACACGAGGTGGGTGGTGTGAAAATCAGCCTAAGAAATATCACACCAAACCTCTGAGGAACTGATTTAGTTTGAGATGTACACCTGTCATTGTATATATCCATCTGTTATCACTCAACGTTGTTGGCATTTACCCCACAATGATTAAAATCATTGAGTTGTATAAGCAGTTGTGTACCAGCCAGGAAGATTTTGGAGAGCACATTGACAGCTATAGCTATACAGTTTTGCAGGCCCTTGTGCTGTATTAATATGTTGTTGACTCTTGTTGACTACCCTTGTTGACTCAGGGCAGCTTCTCCACTACTGACTTGTAAAGAAGGTTACTAACCCTTCTTTAGGCGCCACATAAAAATACAAGTGACCAAATGAAAGTGCTATACATGTAAACCAGTATACAAATTTCATCATCTGCACTGCTATGACAAGCAACAGGGAGCCCCATCTCACATCTTTATGAAATTAGGAATCTGAGCAGACGGAGGACAGGGACAAATATTACCACTCGCCTATAGATTATGGCTCACCTGCTTTCAGTGTGGTTGCATGCCTACAGCAGCAAGTGTTGCTTAATAGTAGAATTTAGAACTGAACCAGAACATTCTTTTCAAACACTGCTAACTCATCTGTGAGGCTTAGTGGATGGCCCAGCTGGTCTCATGGGGTTCTAAGGCTAAGATGGGGTTGACATCATGTAAGCCACCTTCAACTCCTTGAAGTAAAGGTGAAGCATACAACGATTACCACTTCATAAATTGTTTGTTTGTCCATACAGTGTTGTCCTTCAGGAAATGTGAGAGTCCAATGCCTTTGAAAAATGGTTTATTTTGCTCATTCTGTACAAACACTGATACAACTGTCCAAATGCACAGGCACTAAAGAAATTGATTTCTACATTTTTCTCAAACATAGTAGTAAACTGTTTTAATGGTATCATTCCAAAATACCATAAAATCAGAAAGTTGTCAGCTAAGTGAGTTTTCCTATTTGTAGCCCACCACACTGATTAAGAGTAGAAATGTAAAACTTGGAACAAGATCCAAAGAACTCTGCAACTAGTACCCTGCCCACCCCAAGTGATCTTTGTTTCTTCAGCAGCAGCCTCCATCTGCTTGAAGGCTTTGGCAAAGGGGTTTTCCAGAGCAATTTGAGAGCTAGCACAAGAGTCTTAAAAGTTTTAAAATCTCCACTGGCCATGTCTCAAATAATACTCCTGATCTTGGACTTTAACGTGGCATTGTTGGAATAGAAGTACATATATGAATGCTGTAATTTGAAAATTGGTTTTCCTGTTTTGATAAGAAGCTTTTCAGAATTATTTTAGCATTTTATTATTAAAATACAACAGAGGATGAAATAAACATACATAATAATTACATGGTACATTATAGCTTAATATTATAACCAAATAAAGAAATTGGCCAGGATATAGACTGCTTCAGAGTGGAATGCTGCCCATGCAACTTTTCTGCTGGGAAAAGGGGAGGGAAAGCTGGTCTGCAGGGTGAATTCTGCAGGAGGAAAGGAGACCTGACAAATTGTTTCTTACTCCCTGCTCCCCATCAGTGGACCCTCTGCTGGATTTCAGTCTCTCCATTTGTGTAATTCATTTGTGGAAGGGTATGTTTGGATCCAACCCATTGTAGAGTTTTCAAAGGGCAATTTATCCTTAAAACATGTCATTGCCAAGACATAGACATACATATTTTTTTTAGGATATTCTGTGTTCCCAAAACCCATGCATTTTTCCATGCATTATCAAATTTAAGTACTGCCTCACTTTTGCCCAAACTATCTTTGAGTGCAATGTCTTTACAAATTATTCTGTACTTGTAAAGTTGATTTTCAGTCTATATAAATATCTGTTTCTTTTTGACCTTTTCCTAACTTTACTTATGACTTCTTGTTTTCTAGGCCTCTGGAGCAAGTTCATCTTGAAACTAGTCAGCCATTATGGAAACCATTGACATTCCAAAACAATATTTATCTTATCTATCTAGCTCTCTCTATATATCTATATATATTATTTAAAAAGCAGCCAAAATCAGAGAAAAGGAACAGGGATTTAATACTTTTTTAATGATTATTTTTGTGAAACATGTACTTTTCATACGGGTGGCTTTTACAAGCAACTTTTCTCATTGTTCCATTTAAAAATCTAATCATTGTGGTTCATGACAATGTTATGATTGTAATCTGATTGAGATATTTCATAATTTGGAGGAGAATTCCATAATACCTAAAAAAAATCATGCAAGATTGCAGATTTGGAATAACGTAAGTGGGTCAACTACTTTCCCCTCACGGTTATTTTTAATGAGCATAACTCTTAAAACTCAATAGATAATGACTGTTCTGGGGGAACAAATCCTTCATAGATTTTTTTGTTTTTAGAACTGGAATGAATAATACATTAATCATCTTGGATTTTGCTTGCTCTTTTGCAATGGGATGCTAATAAGATCCAGTAAGTTCAGCATATCCAGTTTTCTCTCATTAACACATTAGACCATTTATATCTAACACGTTTAAAAAAAACCTAACCAACTCCTCAGGTATTTAAATATTGAGATGGCCCCTAAATCTGTGAAGGACAAATTAAAGGCATATGAGGGAGGATGAGTTTTATATGCAACTTTCGTCCTGTGTTGTTTTGTTTTCCCCCTTAAGTTTAATATTGTCCTTTGTACACTGTCATTTCTTTGAACTACGCAAACTCTTTAAGTAAGCAGTTGAATAATAGGTATCTAAAGCTTAGCCTTAGATATGTTCCATCATCCATGCCTACATGGAAGATGCTAGGAGTACAGAGAGAAACCATACAACTATACAAAACAAATTAAGTACTGTAACTCATTTGTGCTTTTCTTTACTGTTGACATTATTTCTTGATTATGCTTTCATAATATGTTTGGTAAGTAGTGGAGTACAGTGGGCAAGAGCAGATAAACATCTTTTTAAAATGTCGCTGCCTTAGTATCTAACATAGTTCTTAGGGTAGTCTCTGCACATTCATTTTAATGTATCTGTGAGTCACATGAATACTTCAGAAACTTTGGGAAAGCAATATGTTTGTTCTTTCTTACCATCCCACAACTCTGGATGAAGAGAGGATCAGTCTTCTCAGTTACTCCAACAGCAAAAGATTTTTATTGATGGCGCAGCCTGCATACTAAAATGTGCCAGCTGCCTACAAAAGTAGGGGGATGGAGACATGTGAAGCCATGTGGAAGGAACTCTTCCTCCTCCTCCTCTTTTTCCCTGTGCTGAAACTGCTTTACCCCAGCAGTTTTTCTCCTAATCTTAGACCTCATCGGGAGAAAAGGGCTGGTAGAAAACACACAGGTGGAAGAATGGTCCGGTGACCTTTACTGCCCACCCATGCTGCACTTTAAATCCCCCCACAATCCCTCCACTTCTTGGGCACAGCCCCCATTCCAATACACAGACCAATTTCCAGTATAATGGAAACACATGGCAATTTCTCTTGTATCTCTTCACTCAAAGACTTGATAGTCATATTAAGCAAAGATTCGGGAAAGCGTTTCTTTCTGTGTTGGTTTTCTGGACAGCTTTTTTTTCTACGATGGTTGAACACAGTATCATTGCAGAAGAGCCAATGGTCTATCCAGTCCCAGACTATATTCATACAGTGGCCAACCAGTTGCTTCTGGGAAGCCCACAAGTAGGATATGCAGAAGCACCCTTTGACCTGTGTTCCCTCAGCAAGTGACATACAGAGCCATATTGTCACCTCTAGTGGAGGTAATATAGGCAGCTTGACTTACAGAGACTGATGGCCTCCTCCTTCATGAATTTGGCAAATGCCCTTTTAAGCCATCCGAGTTGGTGGACCATCACTACATCTTGTGGTAGTGAATTCCATAGTTTATGCACTATTTGAAGAAGTGTGTTGGTTTCCTGTTAGTGCAAATATGTAGAGACATCTGATGCTTCATAGAGACTTCAACAATTGATCTGTAATTGATATCTTCATTTGTATGGATCATGTAGACTGATTTTTGAAATGTTTCTATGAATGGATTATCTTGGTGATGGAAAGATTTTATGCCCCAGTTTTCTCAGGAGACCTCCTTTTAATTCCTCTACTCCACAGTGGAGTCAGGTGAGACTATTTTGTCCGCAAGCTTTTAATGTTGAGGTGTGTTTCTTACCATACCCGATTTGCTTTTAAAGCTTGATTCAGTACCACTCATTCATCGCAAGGCCAAATCTTACTCTAAACCAGCTCATGTAGTGAGGCTCAAGTTCTATTTAACAGTGCAAGATGAAATGAAAATGCTGCCTCTTCCCTTTATGTAACTTTCATTACATGGCAACAGCAGATGATTTAATAAGAATGCTCCTGGAATATATGGGGTGCAGGGAGATGGAGTTGCACATGTGAACGCCTACTCCAGTGTACACCAAAAATAACTGCACAGAGAAAGCCTGCATGTCAAGTAGAAGATTGGGCTAGAATCTTTCTCCCTGGCATCTAGTTTTCTGTGTGCTGAGTGTTCTTTTTATAAGAACCCATTTAACCATGCTGTCCTCTACCCTGCAGTCTGATGTGGTATGGTTCTGAAACAGGTTTGGCTATCTCATATGCTTTTAGTATAACCAGGCCATAGAAATTGGCAGAAATAGGGATGTTGGGAAAATCTGCAATAAATTCCAGTGGGTTTGGATTTCTATGAATCCTACCCATGGATTTAGCAGCAGACCAACATTTCCCAAGATTCGCAGACCTTTTTTTAAACTTTCTGTAATTATACATACATTTATCCATAAAAAGTACCAAAAATAAAAAAAGATTAAAAATGTGCTTTCCTCCTCTAGAATAAAGCATGGAAATGCATATTTGGAGGTGGGGCATTTGCGCATTTTTGGAAGTGCAGACTTGTGCAAATGCGTATGAAGTTTTTTTTTCAAGTCTCATTCCCTCAGCAAGCAGACAATGGCGTAAAATGCACCTGACAATCCACACAACGGAAATAGAACAGAACTAACCAAGTCTGTACATCTCCAGCAAAAGCACCGCTGGTAGACATTGCTTTCCAGAAGACTCCAAAGTTTGACAGGGCTCGATTCCTATTAATATGAATGGTCAGAGGTCTCTTGAAGAACTTTGTTACTGGTTAATAGCTTTCATGTATCAAGTAACAAGAACTTAATCATATTTTGTGTGTTAAATTCCGTTCTTCATTCCTGAAATTTATTACACAGTGAATGCTAATACTCCATTGTTTGGCTTATTGTAATGGTAAACGCTTACAGTGTACTTGCAGAGAATAATTTCATGATCTGTTTATGCTATATATTCCTTTTTGTTACAATTTTTTTAAAAGAACTATTTTTGTTAATGTAAAGTTAAATATTTCAGAGCAGAATTTTTAAACTTAATTGCACTAAATGCAGATGTGGATAAAGAAAGAGAAGTAATGCCTCAATGGTTGGATCACTCCTTAAGAGAAACTTTTTGAAAAAGAGAGCTATTGTTCTAGATAAGCTTAGCTAAATGGTTGCAAGAATGGGTGTAGAAACACCTGATAGAGTTGAATGGCCACCAATGTTTATATAAATGGCTGCTTTGATTCTGTGCTTCCTTTCCAAGGATCAGAAAGTTTTTAAAATGGCTGCTGAAGGAAACATAGCATTCTGTAATTAACTGGTGGTCTTTGCTGTGTAACTAAATGCTTCAGTTTCATTTTTATAAATCATCTGACATCATAACCTTTTCAGACTAACTGCAATAAAATTCAGGACAAAGAAGAAGAATCCTTTCTCTATCAGTCACAGAAACCAATCATGGAAGTACATTTTAAGACTAACAAACTAGATTAACCTCTGTTCCTGCTAACATGTTGTCCCAACCTGCTTCACTTTACTAACCATGAATAATGCCATGAAGTTTTATATGTCTGTTGACAGGAATCAAGTTTTGAATGCATGTGTGTTAGCAGGAACCAAGGCATTAGTCTAGGCTTAAACTAGAGCACTGCTTTAAGTCTCTTTTGATGTATATATTACATATTACTGTAAGGATATTTAGGAGGAGAGTTAAGAGGAGCCTTAATTTGTGGGAGGAAGTGCAATGGCTCTGTCACGGCACTGGACTTTGGACACAGTTTCCTTAAGTCACCAGGGTTTGGCAACAACAGCAAAAGACACCTGGGCTCAGCAGGTTGAAAACCACAGAAGCTGTATTCCTACACAAGCGAATTGGAGGGTCCCTTAGGTGGTTCCTCTGAGGTCATCAGAAATCGTCACTCAAGAAGAGAGGCTTGGATTTGGCTCACCTTTGACATCATCAAAAAAACTGCTTTGCCCAGTTCCACAGGCTTGTGTTCTGTGTTTGCTGGATGCCCTGGGAAGAGAGAAGTTTGGTTTGAACTTGCAACTAGAATTGTAATCAGAAACAAAAATTTTGTATTTTTGTATACCTTGATTGTGCAGCATTTTTATATACAGGTCTTGTTTTACAAATAAATTTGGTTTCTTAACATGGTGTTTAAAATGTTTTATGGGTATTGCTTCCCTCAGGCAGCTGTGATCTTGACGGTTAACTTGTATGTAAATTGCAGTGTACCCAGAAGTGATAAGCACATTTTCACCCATGTGCAGCTGCTTTGCTCATTGAAAGCTGCACTACAGAATAATAGGTACTAACTCAGAACCTATTGAAGGCTTCACTGAACATAGGTGGCACCTGGCAGCTTAGAATTGTATTGCTGTATGAGAATGACCAACATAATATTAGTAATTTAAAGGCAGTGTAGAAGTCCTCAGCTCCTCCAGAAGTCTTCTAGAAGTCCTCAGCTCCTCCAGAAACATTACAAAGAACATTGTTCTGGTGTACTAAATCTACAGTCTTTAATATATCCTAACAACAAGATTAAGCATGTAATCCTGTGCATGTTGAATCAGAAAAAGGTCTTCAATTCTCAGAATGCTGGAAATGGTAAGACTTTTTTTTTTCTAAACATGTACAGGATTGTTCCTTAAAGCACTTAAGAAACCTGACTGCAAGATTTACCTTCTACTAAAATACTTTTATTTTCAAATATCATCACTACATATTTGGAAAATCAGTCCCTGGCCCAGCACTAATCTGTCAAAGTATTATACAGTTTGTCAAGCTTTGAAGGAATCAAATGTGACTGGTACATTAATTTATAATGATTTTTCTTTCATATTATACCAAGAAAACAAAAGTGATCTAGTGGTAAAAACAATTTTCATGTTCATCCTGAAATTAGACTCCCTGGTGTTTCTCCATTTACTTTCTACCATTTCTTTTATACTTAGCAGAATATTAAATATATATTAGATAATCTTTTCTGATCATTCCAATTCAGTTAATTTCATGTTCATTTCCTTCAGTTCCTATTTTTTTCTGAACTACTTAACTAGTGATACCAGTGTTATTTCCTAATTTGTACCTTATTCTTAAACACAATCCCTCTGATATTACCTCCATAAAACTGAACAAATTAGACAGTCTTTAAATTTCCATACTGCTGATCAATTTCAATTTTCTAAACTTTAGGGTAATATTTATTTTAAATTCATTACAAGTATTTAAACATGTAAGTTCTTTTATTTTCATATCAAGGCACCAATGAACAATTTTCAGCAGTATTGTCATGCAGCTTTGCTCAGTTTCATGCGGGGGGAGGGGACATGAGGTATCTTTGATATAGTACAGTTAGTGTATTATTTTTACACATACCACATATTATATCTGAACATTTCAAAAGCCCATTATGGTATATATAATCGTTATTCATGTCTTCAGATCTTATTAATGGTTTCAGCTGCTTGTCTTGACTAGATCTGCTTTAAATATGCTTTCTCTCTGAAGCAAATTACCTTACCATTGTACTAAACTTAAAACATCGGAAAGCTCCATACTGAGTGGCCCCTAGAAAAAAATGCAGTGGTGGCAAACCCCCCCCCTTCCCCTATGAGGAACCCTTTGAGTAAAGTTTCCCATCAACCTGTGAGCGTTTGTCTAGCACCCTCAATTTCCAGGTAGGAGCTCTTCAAAGCCACAGGGAAACTTCAGCATTGCTTTTCTCAGGTTTGCTTTGAATAATGGAACTCCCTTTGGTGGTGAAAGGCTTAAATTCCAACACATGAGATGAAATTGTAGGCCTGTTGCAATCAATTTTTTGCAACTCTTTACAAACTAATATCTGTACCAGTTAGAATGATATAACCCATCCAGGGAGCCGTGTAGCTAATGGGGTGAGTTAAAAATCCAATAACTAAATAATGATTGATTGATTGATTGATTGAAGTACAGAGTGTATAACCTGGCCACTGCTTACTCAGCTATAATGGATACTTTTCAATCCTGTGTGTTGAACTCTTGCTCTCCCTATTTTATAAAAGCAGTCAGGGTGGGTGGAGATTGGCTGGTGGACATGAATACTGGCAATGCCTCTTTATGACAAGGTATGAGTCCATCTTGTCTGGAACAGTGATGATGAAACCTTGGAGAAACAAAAGAAAAATTCTCTCAGAACTTCCCTGTATTGATAATTACAGTGAGTCTTTAATATTCTATTTTCGTACAGGATACTGACACACGTTATAGCATTCTGGTTCCGAGGGCTTCTGGATTTTATTTACATCAGTGGTAGACAACCTGCAAAGGTGGACACTGAGCCCCAATGCACCAAACTCCTTTGAACCCCACAGATGCTGCACGAACAAAAACTAGCAATCCTAGCTGTCTGAGAAAATGCTCTAATTTGTGGCAAGGCAAGGGGAAGTGGGATTGGTGCAGCTCCTTGGCAGGCTTCAAGAAAAGTAACCAGGGATGCATTGATGCTCATGAACCTCCTGTTGCTCACTGCTGATGTAGATCCATTTCGGTCTGGTTTCAGACCAAATTAAAGGCATCATGGCCTGGTTCGTTTTTGTTTTGTTTTTAACACAAGAGGTGTCATTTTAGAACCAGCAAAAGTCAGACCAGAAAGGGCACATCTTCTCCAGAAGAGAGGTTCAGAGAACAAGGTCATCTCTTAGACAGAACCATGACTGTATTTCATGCAAGTGATTTGAAGGCAGTCTTATACACCTAGTATGTTGCAAACAGCCAAACTGTAAGATGCCCCAGAAAGGATTCAACAGATACATGTACAAAGCTTACACATTCATCTAATATATTGTGAATGCATCTGTATCTAGCTAGAGTGTTCCACCTCTAAGTGGTCTCTCTGATGCAGTGTTCCCTTCTCCTAAATAAAGTGGTGTTGTACCTGAAAGTGTCTCCAAGTAACTGAAGGCCACAACAAGGGGAAGGGAATGCTTAGGATGCCTTGGTGGACAATCTAGCTTGAGAAAGGGATAGTGAAAGCATGTCCCTATTGGTTCTGCTAGATTTCTCAATGGGCTTCAGTACCTTTGGCTCAATCCTTGGAGGGCCTATTTCAAAAGGTGCTGCTGGGGGGATTCCAGTTTGATGCCATGTTCATGGGTCTGCGGTTTCCCCACACTTTAACATACTGCTGAAAATACTAGGAGAGATTTTGTCCCTTTGTGGTTTGGCATTGCCAGTAAATTGATGACACCTAACTTGCTTTTCCAATTAGATTCAGGGCTCCAGCCCTAGTGGGCTCTCCCTTAATCTCACTTCTGCTCAGTCTGCTATTTGGCCACTTCTGCAAACACCATCCTCTGTTAGCCCATGTTGAAGTAAGCATGGGAGAGCCCCCGCACCCCACCCCCAGCCAGATTTCTCCATTCCTCCTGGGAAAGTCATCAGTAAAATCTGGAAAGGACGGTAAGTTACAGTTTTTCTCCTCTAATGCCAATTAAATTCAATGAACTGGCTGTTTTAGGCTGCAAGCAAAAGCCAGTGAGGAACAACAAGAAATCTGCCTGGCTTGCTCTCAATGAATAAAGATGGCAAAATCACATTAAAACCTTTGTCAGGAAAAGCCCTATGTCTGCAAGTAGGCTGATGTCTGAGGGGTTTTTTTCCCTATTACCTTGAAACTTGCCTAAATATTTAATACTTAAGAGAAAGCATTACATAATATTTCTTTTAATATCTAATCTTAAGAGAAAAATAAAGCCTGTCTTTCAACTTGTTTCTTTTACTTCTCAGAGCCACAGATCAAGATTCCTCAAAACGGTCCTGGAAAAAAAATTATGAGCATTTCAGCAGCAGCATTTCAAAACAGCCAACCGCTGGAGGATGTCAGAAGGAGCTAAGTCAATTTCTGGGGAGGTAACCACCAAACCATCTTCAGTCTCACGAGTGAAATATTCATGAATGCATGAAACCAGAAAACTCTGTATGCATCATTAAAACAACAAAATCCATGATGCAAATGGAAAATCCTTTATTAGGATTCACACATGGTTCGTTCCCTAATGCCATTCCACACACATTCAGCACCCAGAGCATATTCAGGGCCACTACTAAACTCCAGGATCATCCAGCAGGGCCCAAAATTCCCCCGGCACAACAACATACTTGTCTTCTCTAGTATTGATTGCTGACAAATATACATGTTGGGTTTGTGGATTGTGCCTTTCCTTCACACAACCAGCAACGGAGAGGTGGTGGTGGGGAATAAATTACATGTGTGGGCAGTTGCCTTCCCCTACTGTCTCCTTCTGGCATACCCTGGGGGCAAATGGACATTTTGCCACACCAGGATGTACGTACGTACGTATATACGTACAGAAAGGCCCAAAAATCATAGCACAGGTCCTTAAATATTTGCTTGCTTGTTGCATTTGTATGCTGCACTCCATTGCCCTGATGTTCTCTTGGTAGCTTACTTTAGATTACATTACATTGAAAATAAGAACAAAACAAATCAATTCAACAGCAATGATAAATCAATAAAAATTAAGCAATAAAAATAATCAGGACCAGCATTCATATAATAATAAAAACACATTAAAATGACAAAAGTGTCTGGTGAATAAAATTAGCATCAATAAAGCTGTAAAAAAATAACCATGGTAAAATCAAATCCACTTACTCACCAAAGTAATGGGAATGGTTTTCATTTCCAAAGCATGGCCCCAGGGCTCGCCCAAACACTGGAGCAACCTTGTCTGCTCCTGAGGTGCCAACAAGCCAAAGGCCCTGCCTTAGCATTGCAGATATATGGCTTGAGGAGACGACAGCTGCCCACACCTGGCAGCAGAGAGAGAGAGAGAGAGATGAGGAACTCTAGTCTGAGGCCTCCTGAATGGCAGGCCACAGATCTTCTTGACTACACTGAAAGGCTAGACCAAGCTTCCCAACTGGATTTCCCATCCAGGCACTTTGGACTACAACTCCCATTAACCCTAGCCACCAGTCAGTCATTATGACACTTGTGCTTCTGAACACCTGCAGGGCAGCAGTTTAGGGAAGGCTGGTAGAGATGCCATGGTCGAGGGGAGGAAGTAAGCTTTCCTTTCCTGGTTAAGGAAAAGGTATTGAATGCATGTCTCCACAAAATCTCCATCCTGAGAATCTCATGAAGAA